AGGATGAAATGGCAGGTATGGTATCGAGTTATACAGTTTATACTGAACACAGACAAAGAAAATTATAATTTAACTAAGCATGGTGCACAGAATATCAAATAGGCAGTTAAAACACGTAAGCATGCTCTTCTAGTCTAAACTAAACAATTAAGCATATTAGTGCAATTTAATAAGAGAAGCAATTTATGATTTAAAAAGGATAAAAAGAATTTTTGCAATAACAGCCTGTGTACGTACTCGTCACCTCACGTACACGGCACCCACACACCAAATAATATCAAGACATCCTAAGGGAAAAGTCCCCAACACAAGGTTAGGTAAGCCACTTACCTCGAACTGCTCAAATTACCTCGATAACACGTTCTTGCCACGATTATCCGACTCCAAATGACCCGAATCTATTTAAATAAATTGCATAATGTAAATATAACTACACGCAACTAATTTAGCTAATTAATTCAAAGCTAAAGCATAAAATTAGGAAAAACGCCCAAAAAAGTCACCCCGGGCCCACGTCTCGTAATCGGGTAAAAGTCACAAAATATGAACACCCATTCACTCATGAGTTTACTCGTACCAAAATTGCTCAAATCCGATACCAAAATCTCGATCAAAACCCCAAAATTCGGCCTAAGAAGTTTTCTCAATTTTTCACCCCAAATCCGAAATTTAACGATGAATTCAAGCATATATTAGTGGAATATAACCATAAATGAGTTAAGAATCGTTACCCAATCGATATCTCTGAAAAGGCCTCAATCCCTCGTCCAAAATCCGAGTTCCCAACTTAAACTTTTGATAAAAATGGCATAACCTCCGTTTTTTGGAACTTTAATACTGCCCAGACGCGTCTTTCTTCGCGAATGCGGCCACACCCTCGCGTTCGTGAAGTACAATTTACTTCGGCCCAAAATCCTCCATCGCGAACACGATGCACATGTCGCGAACGCGAAGACCACTCAGCTTGACCCTTCGCGAACACGGGATCTCCATCGCGAACGCGAAGCACGAAAATGCCTGCAACAGAACACCAGAAATCTGCTATCTTCCAAAGTCCAAAAGTGATCCGTTAAGCATTCAAAACTCACCCGAGGCCCCCGGGACCTCAATCAAACAAACCAACAAGTCCTAAAATACCATACGAATTTAGTCGAGCTCTCAAATCACATAAAAAAAATGCTAAAATTACGAATCACCTTCCAATTCAAACTTTAAAAAATGCTAAACTCCCGAAGTTAGACCACTACCAGCATAAATTCCTTCTATGCGATCGCGACCTTCCTTCCGCGATCGCGATTCACAAGGCCTGGAACAACACTTTGCTCTTCGCGATCGCGGCCCAGACCTCCCCGATCGCGAAGAGCACTCCTAGCATTAGATATCAACAGTTTAAAAGGGCCTAAAAGTGGTCTGAAACCATCCCAAAACTCACCCGAGGTCCGATGAATCCCGTCCAATCATTATAACAAGTTTATATGCCCTGTGTAAACTTGTTCAAAGGCCCGGAACACGAATTACAATATCAAAATCAAGTATTAAAGATCAAACTCAATTTCTTAAACTCTCTTAACTTTCAAACCTTCATGCTTCACCGAACGCGTCCGAATCCCACTTAGACATTCCAGAATGATGCCAAATTTTACGTACAAGTTACAAATCACAAATCACAATACGAACCTATTCCAAGTGTCGAAATCCCAAACGGACATCGATAAACACCAAAGTCCACTTCAAATCAAACTTAGGAAATTCTAAAACTTTCAAAATGCTAACTTTCCATAATAAGTGCTGAAATGCTCCCGGACCATCCGATACTTAAACCGAGCATACGCCCAAGTCCAAAATCATCATACGAACCTATTGGAACCTTCAAATCCCGATTCTGGGGCCGTTTACTCAAAAGGCAAACCTTGGTCAACTCTTTTAACTTAAAGCTTCCAAATTGAGAATTTTCCTTCCAAATCAATTCCGAAATTCAAATCCGACTACACGTATAAGTCATAAATACATGAAGAAAAACTACTCAATGAATCAAACCGCCGAACGACGCGCTAGAACTCAAAACGACCGATCAGGTCGTTACTGGAGGTTGGGTTTTCTAGAGTGTTGAGAAATAACCGGCCAACTATTAATAGCGGGGGCCTTTTCTATTTATACTTTGTTTATACAATGTAAAATTAGCTAACTACTAAATGAATAACCACTATACTATATTAATAAAGAATGGCTAACTAGTACAAAAGGTTAAGTACAAAATAAATAGCCGGGCCAACTCAAGTGTGTAAATAGTAGTGTAACAGAAGGTAAATATAGCCAATATTTGAAAGTAAAAGGACTAAATTTGGCCCTTTTCCCGTATTTATTTTTTGGCGTAGGCCCTTTTCTCATATAAGCATTCTTATTTTCTTTTTCGAAACAGCAAAACCTCTACCCCGGTTTCATGACTCACTCCCAGTGACGTAGGGAACATTGAAGAATCAGCCAACCTCGTACAAATCGCTGGTACCAAATCTCCAATTCTTCAGTGTAGTTCGATTCTTTCTTTCACCATCTGACATCTGTTTCTACATTTCTTCCTTCCCCCGTCCCCCTACCTCACGGAAATGCAAGTTTATGTTCGATTTTCTCCAATTTAATCTGGAATTTGTGAATTTTTTGGGGCTTTCTACTGTTAAATAATTGGATGTGTTGTCTTTTTCGGATTTTCTGGGCCGTTAAAATTGGCTTATGGTGATTGTGTTTGAATTCTTTTCAATTTTGTTTTTATTTGTTGCTTGGCTATTTTGAATTTGGGCCGTAGTGCATGCAGAACGAATAATTTCTTTTCATTTATTGCAAGAAAAAACATAATATAATTGCAAAGCTTATTACTAATTGCTCCTGAGCTATCGAGTAACTGTGCTGGTAGGAGGTAGCAGGCACTTGTGAAATTAAGGTGCGATCAAGCTGGTGAAATTAAGGTGCGATCAAGCTGGCTGGACACCACGGTTATTAAAAAAAGCGTGTTACTAATTGCTTTGAATGTGAGTGTGTAGAAGAGGTTAGCTTCTTGTATGACTGAGTGACCTTCCTTTACTTTTGTTTTTTCCTGTATTTGTTGTTAAGCATATCTTTGGCGCTATTATGGAACCTATTGCCAGTTTAGATAGTTGTCAAATGTAACAACCCGATTCATTAGAGATATTGTTCGCTTTGGGCCTAGGCCCGTACGACTTTAAAACGCGTCACTAGAGTCTAAGGCATGTCTATTTATACACCCAGAATCTCTTCTGTGTTTTGTCGATGTGGGATTCGTCTTATGTCACATACACCCCCTCGTAGGGACTCAGCGTCCTCGCTGAGGTTTGCCAGGTTTGCCCCACCACTGTTCAAGGTTGCACGTGGAGTGGCTTTGATAACATATGTAAAAGCCCAGCCCACTAATGATATTGTGCGCTTTGGGTCCATGCCCGTGCGACTTTAAAATGCGTCACTAGAGTCTAAGGTTTGTTTACTTATATATCCAACATCGCTCTCGTGTTTTATAGTGTTGTCAAAGGCGCGCTTAAGCCCTGAAGTGAGGCTCAAAACATGTTGAGCGCTTCGCCTCGCTTTGGGGGCGCTTTAGCGTCGCATCAAAGTTCTAAGGCATATTTTTCCTTGCCAATGAGTGTAATCCTAAAAAGGCGACACTAAACAATTAATATTTCATTTTATCGTAATTCTTTTTCAATTTTTTTGTCTGTATATGTGTTATTCATGCTTATAATTATTGGTTTTGGACTACATATATATATTTTTCACTAATGAAATTACTTATATATCTAATAAATTTTAACATAAGTAATGTAGTGATAAAAACTAAAATTATATCTCGAAAGTTTGAATTCAAAAGATAGAGAGGGGGGGGGGCTCGAATATGTAATGAAAGTTATATAAAATATAGGTAGATTTTATAACAATTTCATGAACTAATTTTTCAATTTATATTTTTTGAATGACTTAAAAATAATTTTAAAATATAGTTTGACATCATTTTAATTATATCCAAAGTACTGTGACAAAATTAATTAAAATATCATAATACAAAAATAATTTACATAGATGATTGATAAAAGAGAGGAAGAATGTTTATCGTTTGAAGTTGAAGCAGGAATCTGATTTAAGCAAAACTGGGAAAAAAATAAATAATTTTAACCCACAAAAAGCTCAGGTGAATTATTGCAACTGACATCATTTCGATTCAAAGTGAGCGTGCTGCAAACTCATTTGTTGAAACAAATAATCTTTCCTCTTGCTCTTAGCTTTCCTTATTCTTGTGGGGTTTGGCTTTTACACTTACCTAAATCTTTTAACAGCCTGGTTTTGGAAGGGAACTTTCCCTTTCCTTATACTTCTCGAATCCTTTCACTAATATGTTTAAGATGTATGTGTCACATATATACTCCTATTCTTTATTTTTATTCTGTGTTAAAGGGTTATAGAAATTTTGGCAGCAATGGAAGGGACAGATCAAATTTCGGAACTGCCAGTGTCGATTTTGGAGCACATTCAGTCTTTACTTGTTGTTAAAGATGCTCTGAACACTAGTACATTGTCCAAGGCTTGGAACAGTGCTTGGGCTTCCCTCTCCTGCTTAAATTTTGGTGATGATATTTTCAGCAAGTCAAAAAACATTGTGAGTCAAATTCTAGCAGATCGGCAAAAGCAGAACATCTCTATACAAAGGTTCATGGTAAAGTTACCATATGCTTCGTTAACCTCTAATTACGTGGATAATTGGATTAATATACTGGTAGCCTGTAATATCAAAGAGTTGTCTATAGAGGTTGAACGCACACACACTTACATCAAGTTGCCTGAAGCAATCTTCGCTTCCAAATCTCTAAACGTGCTTCGTTTAGGCGGATTTAATCTCGAACTACCCTCTAATGGCATAAAATTTTCATCTTTGCGAGAGTTATACCTTGCTGACTCGTTTTTGGACGAGCAATTACTTCAAGCTCTATGCGCAAGCTGTAGCAATTTAGAAGTTTTGTCTTTAAGTGGATTTCATGGACCAATCAGTTTACAAGTAGCAGGAACTTTACCTAAACTAAGGGCGGTATATTTGGAAGATTGCCCAGATCAATTTCAGATGGTTGATATTGCAGCACCTAATCTTAAAGACCTTGAAATTAGCTCATTTTGTGAGGACCTACATGTAATTAAGATAACTGCTTGCAAATCCCTAAAGCATTTGGAGCTCTTGACTGTTGAGGCTGTCACTGACCAATGGTTAGAGGAGCTTCTTCCAAATATACCCAACCTTGAAATCTTTCACTTATCTTGTTGCTCGTCGTTGAAGACCGTGAATATCTCAAGTGATCGGCTCAAGTATTTCCAAGTAACTGCGTGCAATAATCTGATTGAGGTTGATCTAGATACTCCTAACTTACTAGGATTCTTATGTGATGTTCGTTATGGAGAAGATACTGTTGATCCCTTGCCCACATTCAATCTGAAAGCTTCAAGTCTGCTGGAAGCTTGTCTCTGTTTGATCCCAGAAACCCTTGACAATCCTTGGTACTCTAAGCTGATAAAGTCTCTTGGTAACTTTAATCATTGCAATGCTATCACTCTATGCTGTGAGAATGACAAGGTACGTACGTGCAACACTACTTGCCCCTGCTTGAAGACGTGGTTCTGGATTTCTCATAATTATTCTTTTTGTTTGTACAGGAGATAGTTATACCAAAAGACATGAGAGAGAACTTGCTTCCTCCACTTTATGATGCTAAGTGTTTGCGTGTAACAATTATGAATCCATTGAATCATTCAGTTGTGGACGTTGTGGATAGTTTGCTTTGGATTTCTCCTCAACTGGACAGCCTATATTTTGGCTGCGGGACTGAAGACTTAAAGACCCTGAAGGTAAGGTTTCTTGCACCTTTATTCTTCATGTGTGGTTTTCTGGCAGTTAGTTCCCTTTTTTACATGTCTTTGAGTTTTTTTTTTTTTTTTTTTTGACAAAACCTTCATACTTGGTTTAAGATCTTTTGTTTACATAATAGTACAATTATGAGCAGATTAGCCAAAACCTGACAGTTAGTCAACCAACATATGCAAAACTGCAATCACCTACATACATAAAGATTAGCGAGGTAACAAAACCCTTTGTTGCCCCTTATAAAAGTTGTTTGTATAAATTACTTCCCATTAATATCCGCAAACGTATTGGTCAGTTGACTGGTTAAGGGCCAGGTGTTCTCGATTGATTTGTAAACGGTTAGAGAAATTGTGCCAAGTTAATAAACTTAAAGTTATGTGTCGCCGGTCTATTAGTTAAGACTTAGCCACTTTAGTTTAGGTCTTATGTTTATTAGGAGTCTTTTAATCCTATATGAGATTTATGTACATGCCATTTGAAAATATAGAGAATTCTCGTAAAATAGGAGTCTGAGATGAACTTAATCAGAACGGCATGGTAAGTGAGAATCATATAACCAATTCCAACTTGCTTTCAGTTGAGGTTTAATTGTTGTTGTGGTGGTGGTTATTATTATTATTGCTGTTGTTGTTGAGGTTTAGTTGTTGTTGTGGTGGTTATTATTATTGTTGTTGTGTGCTCGGTCAACTTCGAGAAACAATCTAAACACAAGAATGTAGTTCATAATACTGGAAAAGCAGGGACATATGCACGTCTTATCTGCTCGAACTGAACATTATTTTGATATACCTAATTCGATGACGCTTCCTCTTCCCTCACAGTGACTGTTAACCTTTCTATGTTAGTTTCATGATTGATTGTTCATGGAGATATTTATTACCTTTGTTTCTGTCATGGTTTTCCTGGTTTTGTAGTTTACATACAGAGATGCAGCTGATGATGAAGATGAGAAACCTTGTTGTGCATCGCTGCCTTGGAAATGTTGGAGGCATGAGCTAAAGAAAGTTAAATTGAACAACTTTACATGTATGGAGCTGCAGGAGTTGAGAAACTACCTTCTCACAGATACAGACATTTTGGAGGAAATATTTGAAGTTCCACCATAAAGGAGCCTTCTCCCTAATACAGATATATTGGAGAAGATAATTGAAGATCCACCATAATTGAGCCTTCGTACTTCATTTAAGTAGATTTCCTTTAACTAAAGTTTCCATGGTTCCTTCTGTGTAGTTGCGTCTAGCTCATGTTATGCTTTGAGTAAATTAGTTCATGACCTTTTTTGCTGATGTCTTATGTACTTGTCGATGATGGGCAATCTCATGTTGGACTTGGACATTTGTCTGCCATGTTATTGTTTCTATTTTCTTATTGTTTTTTTTTTTCTTTTTGCTTTTGAAGTTCAAACCTTATTCAAATTATGGAACATTCAGTGTATGATTGTCCTGGTGCAATTTTGGGCAAATGAACTGGCGGAGAAACAACTGAGGTTAGAAAGGGCCAGGCGTACCGAATTTTTTCGTGATTCATGAACTTATGGAGCCCCTTGGTTTTGTTTAAGTGGGGATTTGATGTCCAAAGTTTTGTTAGGTGGCTTGGATTTTCCCTGAAGATTGTTTCTTTGAGAACAAGGGTAATTATGCAGTGGAAATCACATCTTTGCATTTGCTATACTTTTGTTCATCAGCATTTGTAGTACTTCCATTTTTAGTAGCTTTACTGAGATGGTTATATTGGTCTGCATGTTATACAAGTAGGCTACAACTTGACATTTTTGTTGTCAAAGACCTTTTTATTATGTTTCTGGAAGCTTTTGTACAGTAACTGTTAGCATTCCAGACCTGATTAATAAGAATACATGGGGACTCAACAACAACAAAAAAAAGGAAAGGAAAGGAAAGAGGATTTGGTGATAATACAGACTTTTACTGATCAACAGTAATGCAAAGTAACAAGCAACTCCATGAGATTCCATCTTGTTTAGTAACTTCAGTTTTGAGTTGTTATAAGGAGACTCCGTTATTCAATCAACTGTAGACTTCGAGGGAATTTAATATGAAGAGATTGCAAACCACGAGTTGAGGGTTTCCATTCAGTTCTCGTACTCAGAAGAAGCACATTTAGGCGGTTTTTACTTTTTCTGAAGTTTCCAAAAATAGAGTTTGCAAATTTATAAGTAGCAACAACAGTTCAAACAAACACTTATTTTTGAAAAAAAAAACTCACTAGAACTGTTGAATCTTTTGTTTAGAATAGCTTGTCCGGGTTTATAAACATCTTTTCGTGATAACTCTTCTCTGACTTCTTGTTCATCTTAACGACTAAAAAGGATCTTTTTAATGAAATAAATTATATGCTCATGAGTCATGACTCAACTCTAAGGTGATTGCTAGAACGCATTGCTTTATTCCTTGTTTTGGGATGTAGTGACAGTCTTACTGATACGGAGTTATTGTGTATTGAAAATTAGAAACTCCATTCAATACAAATACGAAACAAGTTTATGTTTATTTTGTCGATCTGTAAAGGATTGTTTGGTTTTGACGCAGGTTGTGTAAGGATTGGAATGCATCGTTAATAATGGAAGGATTGTAATGTCGTGATAGATTTTATAATAAACTTATAAAATAATTTCTAGCCTGGGGTTTTGTAGCCTGATTTTTTCGAACAAGATAGTAGTGTTGGTTTTCGCACAATACTTACCGATGAGTAAATAATGCAAATCAATCTTGAGTCGTCAACCGAAAAGACGCACGGTGACTTCCGATGAGACTGGAATTTCTAGGGTTTGGTCGCACAAGGGTTTCGTATGTGATAGTGGTACTGATATATGTACAGTACCACTGTAGCAGTGATAAACCTTGGGAACAAGGCGAAGTTACCGGAAAATTGCACGGCGATGAGATCTTTCTTCCCGAATGTCGCTGGAATGACGCACAACGATAATTTTCTCACTGAAGCTCTGATACCATGTGAGAATGCACAGGAGAAAAATCTATTTATTGATAATGATACAATGAGTCCTATTGAGACAAGAGCGAGTTGCTCTAGTGGTAAGCACACTCCACTTCCAACCAAGAGGTTGTGAGTTCGAGTCATCCCAAGAGCAAGGTGGGGAGTTCTTGGAGGGAGGGAGGCGAGGGTCTATCGAAAACAGTCTCTCTACCCGAGGTTGTGAGTTCGAGTCACCTCAAGAGTAAGGTGGGGAGTTCTTGGAGGGAGGGAGCCGAGGGTCTATCGGAAACAGTCTCTCTACCCCAGGGTAGGGGTAAGGTCTGCGTACACACTACCCTCCCCAGACCCCACTAATGGGATTATACAGAAAGTAGCGAAAATGAAGAAGCTAAGATGGATGTGCAGGCATATTAGGAGAGATATGATTATGAATGAGGATATCTGGGACAAGGTGGGAGTGACCTCTGTAGTGGACAAGATGCGAGATTGAGGTGGTTCGGGCATGTGAAGAGGAGATGCGTTAGATACCCTAATAAAGAGGTGTAAGAGGTTAGAAATAGTGGGTCTAAGGAGAGGGAGATGTAGGCCAAAAAAGTATTGGGAAGACGTGATTAGGTAGGACATGACACATCTTCGGCTTCGGCTTACTGAGAATATGACCTTGATAGGAGGGTGTAGAGGTCGAGAATTAAGGTAGTGAGTTAGTAGGTAGTCGCGTGTTTTTCTTTCCCATATACCGATAGTATTAGTACTACTCCCGTATTTTCTTATTCTTAGTTTTCTACTACTACCTATTATTTTTTGCTTTGATTTTTTTATTTTTCTTGTTGTTATTGCTTCTTTTTTTCGTGGCTTCTCCACAGCTGTATTTCTTTTTCATGACTGCTGAAATTATGCTTTTCTTGAGTCGAGAGTCATCGGAAACAACGTCTCTGCTTTCACAAGATAGGGGTAAGGTTTGCTTACGCACTACCCTCCCAGACCTCACATATGGGTTTCATTGGGTATGTTGTTGTATGACAACATTTGAATTATATGGAAGCACTTGTTTAAAAAATAATTAAGATATCACATAACAAAATAATTTTCATAGATGATGATTGATACTTTAAAGGACAAATGTATTTTGATTAAAAAAAATAAAAGAGGAAGAATTCATTTGAAGTTGAAGCATGTATTTGATTTTTTTTGCAAAATTGAACCAATTTTTTTTTTTTACAAAAAATTATTGTTATCCCTTTCCGTTACCTCGTCCAATAGGAAAAAAATCCGCATGCAAAAATTTCGCTACTCAATAGGAAAATCCAGTACGGGGGTCAATATAAAACTTTAGGAAGAGAAGGGGGTCAATTATTAAAAATGGCAGAGATTTCTGGATCTTTTGGCAGTTTAACCTATTAAGAAGGAGCAGAGTTGTTTGGACTCTGTATAATATATATGGTTTGTCTTTCTTCCTCTTGCTTTTGGCTTTCCCTTTTTCTTGTGGGTAATTTGGTTTTCACACTTGTTCAATCCGTTAACTATTCTTTTCTTTACACTTTGTGAATCCTTTCACTATTCGGTTTAGGATGCATGTCACTCATACAAATATTATTTTATTTATTTATTCTTTTGTCAGGTAACTCCTTTTATTAAAGGTTATAGAAAATATTAAGGCAACGTTGGAAGGGACAGATAAAATTCCTGAACTGCCGGTGCCAATTTTGGAGCACATTCTGTCTTTTCTTGTTGTTAAAGATGCTGCCAAAACTAGTGTTACAACCTGAATTACTCAGCACAAATACTAAAGTATTTTATATTATATTGCTCTCAACAACTATAAGATTACAGCTCTAGAACGTAAACAACAACAGTAATTGCAGAACAACTGAAGAAATATGATAGGTAATCAGAAAGAGATGAGGAATTAGACATATTCAGAAGAGGAGGTGAGAAAGCAGACTTTGCCTAGGAATGATCACAATACACATGCCCTGTATACCGCCAGGATCCCAATATAATACCTTAGCGTTCTATTCGGGTGTTTAGTCATTGGGCATTTTCTTCATTTAGCTCCAGGCCCAATACTACCAACTATATTACTAACTGGATCGGCCTTGTTCCACACTTCTGGCCCATAATCCCATACCGAGTCACGCCGGTTCACAACAATACTTCCACCCACAAAAAGAACCTTGTCCTCTAAGGTTCAAGTCAGGAAGGCAACTTCGAGAGCTAAATCCATGGCTGCGATAGGCAAAAACCACTAGGAACAATATCATAGTTTGGTTGGCAGCTTGGGGGTAGTGTCGACTTGGTTTCATCATTATCGCCTAACTTCTGTAGAATAACCACTTTGTTCAAGATAACATGACAACAATGTGTAATAATTGGAGATGTGTTCAAAAACACAAAGCACCTAATGATGTCATTCAAGCTTTCATATGGCATGGTTCTGATCTTAGAAGCAATATTGCCTGTCCCATAAACTTTCTCAGCAACATGAGGGGAATTTGTTGTACTTTCTAACAACGCCGCACATATATGGCCAACAATAGCTGCAATGCCCCTTTCACTCCATTCTCTTTCAGCATCAATTCCTGATGAAAGGACAAGAACAAGTGGACTAGCTTGCACCGACGAAATTGCTGGCCAATTGAAAACCTTCTTGGTATTAGTAGAGGCATTTCCCTCTCTATCAAATGAAATAGTCATATGATACGCCACAATGTTAGTAATAGTCTCAGATAATTGGATGCCAAGAAATCTCTCAAGAGTACTACTATGATCAAAAGGATCTCCAAAAGCATGTGAAACATAAGACATACAACACTTCTTAACATGCTCGGACCCGTCGAAGCTAGAATTATCCATCTTGAAGTACAGATGAACAATTTTAGCAGTTTTCTCTTCACCAAATTTCTCCATTGCTACTGCTATCAACCAACCATGTTCTATTTGGTTTACAGTAAAATTTATCAGCATTATCAAATTGAGTTCAATGATAACCTGCCCTGCAATCACATACTTGTTCAAGAGGATAACATACACTAATGCATGCCCTAAGCCATGATGAAACCTATGATGTACAACCAACTCTATCATTTTAATGACACCATAAAATGTGTAAGCAGCAAGGTGCACAGAGTGAAGCTTCACCTTATAGCCACTCCTTAATTTTAATACTTTTCGCTCCTGTAATATGGCAGCAAATGCAGTTGCTGCAGGTTGCGTTTTACTACTTAAGTTTGCAGCAAGAAGACGAGCATATATATTGGAATCATCCACACCAATTATGACAAGCCCATTAGAGTTGAGGTTTGTTGTTATTGCAACAGAATGCGAGACTTGGGCCAAGAAATGCGATTTTGGAAGTGGTCGTGGTGGCCGAGGTGGAACAGTTAGTACATCCATCATGCAACTGGACATTTCATTAGACAGCTTGCCACCTTCCATAGTACCATTGAGGCCAACTGCAACAGAATACAATGCACTAGGCAAGTTGTGGGGTATATTGAAATGTATATCCAAGCTTTCGAACATAATGGATGGAAGAACAGACTCACCGGGATCAAATGGAAACTATAATCCGAACTGATCAAGGAAAAATTGATGTAAATCTATAAGAGGTGTAGCATGATCAAGTGCACTACATGAGTCAAATGTACTTCTCTTTATAAACTGGTCACAAATGCAAGCGGAAAGAGTACAAGGCAACTCCTCCAAACGTTGAGCAAGCTCAAGTCCACGTTGAGGGTAAACTTTTCCGGAGTGTCCAGCCAATGATTGATTCCAACGATCATCACCCATGAAATGGTAATTACGGACTACAGTTAGAAGCTGTCCAAAAATATCAGTAGTTTCTTTGACTAACGAATATCCGAGGGCAATGGTTCCATCAAACAGGTCCCCTCCTGCCCAAAGTTCCAGCACAAGGTGCATAGAAAACATGTCCTCAGAAGATGATGGTCCACTATGCCATTCAAGGTTTCCACGTCGTACGAGTAAACCAATTGCATCACATGAATAGCTGATATTAGAAATTCCTACAACCTCAACAATCTGCCACACTAGCCACTCCAAATGCAATACTATGCAACTCAAAACTATCACCTCATTAGCCATCGTGAACTTCTTATCATGCTGCAGGACAAACTCACAACTAAGAAAAAGTAGCAGCCATGGTTCCTCATGTAAAATGTGAGTTAGATCTTCAGATTGAACAGATAAAAGTACATATACATCAGCCTTGAAATCTTGCCCTGTGTCGAACCAATTGTCCACACAACTATAAAATAGAATAGTCCCTATAGTTGATCTAGACACATAGTGGAGAGATGCACAAGCCCTCGTTTGACAGCAATAACAAGTATCAAGCATACGACAATCGTCCAAATTGACACTAACAGGCACAACAAGTATTCGACCAACAGGAAACTTAACATCTGGGATCAAGCTAGAAAAGGGATCCAAAATCATAGTTGCAATATGGCTGAGTTGTGTGGTGGTATTTGTAGCAAACACCTGAGCTGCAGTATTGCTTGAATTTTCCTCCACCTTAGTGCAGCCTCGTTGGTCCTCCTCTGATTTTCCATCGTCGGAATCAGAGTTTATCTTCATTGCATCTAAAAGTCCCTCAGAGTCTATAGACAAAATCTCAAATTGTTCAATCTCTTGAGGCATGAAATAATCTCGTCCAACAAGAGGAACTAATTGAGCTTCATCCTTTGAAAATTGAGAATGCACAACAGGTTCATTACTTTGGGGATTTTTATCAAACACCTCATCTACGATAGTCGCATACTTTTCTCCATCAACTAGACGAGCGTTGAGTTCATGAATTTCGGGAGATGCAGACTCATAGGTCGCCGATCGAACCAATGTAGCACAATTGACGTAGTCAACCCCAGCTTGTGAAATATCTGCCATTCTCGAATTAATGAAGGTCCGTTTCTGAAAATGCATAAGAAATTTCTCCTTGAAATGGTTCCAATCATAAAATTGGTGGTTGCGAAATAACCAATTGAACCACGCGAGGGCATCACTTTCTAGATAGAAGGTTGGAAGAGGCAGCTAGTCCTTCTTGGCGAAGCCAAGGTATGTGAAGTATAACTCGGCCCGAAAAATCCAACTCTCCGGGTTGCCGTCGCCACTGAATCTAGGTAGAAACATCGCCACTGTTGGAGTCCGATAGATGAAATCACCAATGCTACAACCTGAATTACTCAACACAAATACTAAAGTATTATATACTATATTGCTCTCAACAACTGTAAGATTACAGCTCTAGAACGTAAACAACAACAGTAATTGTAGAACAACTTAAGAAATATGATAGGTAATCAGAAAGAGATGAGGAATTAGACATATTCAGAAGAGGAGGTGAGAAAGCAGACTTTGCCTAAGCATGATCACAATACACATTGCCTGTATACTGTCTGGATCCCAAATATAATGCCTTAACGTTCTATTCGGGTGTTTAGTCATTGGTTCTTTTCTCCATTTAGCTCCAAGCCCAATACTACCAACTATACTACTAACTGGATCGGCCTTGTTGCACACTTCTGGCTCATAATCCCATACCAGGTCGCGCCGGTTCACAACAAGTGTATTGTCCAAGGCTTGTAACAATGCTTGGACTTCCCTCCCCTCCTCAAATTTTGGTGATGTTTTATATCCTGTGGCCGAAAGGATTCTCATCTGATGTTCATTATGGAAAAGATATTGTTGATCCCTTGCCAACGTTCAAAATGAAAGCTTCACATCTGCTGGAAGCTAATCTCAATTTGATCCCACAAACCCGTGACACTCACTGGTACACTAAGCTCATGAAGTCTCTTGGTAACTTTAATCATTCCAAGGCTATTGCACTGCGCTGTGAGAATGACAAGGTATATACGTGCAACAAATTGTCTACTTGCCCCTGCTTGAAGAAGTGGTTCTGGATTTCTCATATTTCTTCTTTTTGTTTGTGCAGGAGATAGTTTTACCCAAATACATGAGAGAAAACTTGCTTCCTCCACTTTATGCTACTAAGATTTTGCACATAAAAATGAGGAATCGGTATAATTTTTCAGCTGTGGACGTTGTTGATTGTTTGCTTTGGATGTCTCCTCAACTGGACACCCTATCTTTTGACCAGACTAGAGATTTAAAGAGCCTGATCAAGGTAATATGTGTTTCTTTCAAGGCACTAACTTTGTAGTATGTACAGAAAAAATTAGTGGTTACTAATGTTTCTTGCACATTTATTCTTTATGTATGATCTCCTTGCAATTAGTTCACTTTTTTACATGCCCTTAATTCTTTGTTTTAGTGACAAAGCCTTCATACTTGGTTTCGATTTTTTTATTTACCTAACATGACTCCAATAGTACTAGCAGATTAGCCAAAAGTAATAGTTAGTGAATCCCACCATAAGCAAAAAAGTATCACCTACTAACTAATCATTTTGAAGTCTATTATATAGGTTAGCAAGGTTACAAAATTCTCTATAGCCCCTTAAAGTTGTTTATATAAACCTTTTTTTGCAGAAATATTTGGTTTATTGACTGGTTAAGGGTCAGGAGTTCTTGGATGATGTGTAAACACTTCAGAAAAAAATGTATCACATTGGATAATTTAAACTTCTGTGTGCTCGACCTATTAGTTGGGACTATACTTTAGTCAAGATAGTACGTTTATTAGGTCTTATGTTTGTAAGGAGTCTTTTAATCCTATCTAAGATATATATGTCGGTAGAAAATATAAAGAACTTCTAGTAGTCACCATCCAAGAAGCCTGGTGCAGGATTAATTTCCCACAATTGTTTGACTTTAACATAGTAGGTGTGAATCCACAATCTATCCTTCTTTCACGGGTTCCAGAAATGCTTACTCACTGCTGCCCTGTTCCAGATGGCAAATATCAATAACATTAAAACCTCCGGCTGATTTAGGATAGCAAACTCTTTCCCAAGCTAATTGTGCTTTCTTAGTCACCTCATTGCCCCCAGTCTATAAAAATCTCATGCACATGGATTCAATCAGGTGTAGATTATGATTGGGTCTAAGATGAACTAATTGGAGCGGCATGGTCAGCAAATATTCATATAGTCGTATCAACTTTCTTGGGATTGAGGCGTATTAGTAATTGTTGTTGTTGTTGCATGCTTGGTCACCTTCAGGAAACAATGTTAAACACAAGGATTTAGTTCATAATAATGGAAAAGTAGGGACAAATATTCTACACTATACATGACATATACACATGTTATCTGCTCAAACTGAAAATTGTTTTGATATACCTAATTGTATAAAGCTTCCCCTTCCCCTCACAGTCACTGTTTCCTTTTTTTCTTCTTTGGCCCCAGGTTTTTGGTTGGGGGTGGGGTGGGGGATTTCACATCATTTATAAGCTGATACCAAAGAATTTGAACCTTTCAATATTACCTTAGTTCCTGTTGTGGTTTTCTTGGTTTTGTAGTTTACATACAGAGATGAAGATGAAGATGAGAAACCTTGTTGTGCATCTCTACCTTGGAAATGTTGGAGGCATGAGTTAAAGAATGTTAAATTGCAGAATTTTGAAAATATGGAGCTGCAGGAGTTGAGAAACTACTTTCTCACAAATACAAATAATACACCGGAGATAATTGAAGATCCAACAGGATGCAACATTTATACTTCATTTCACTGGATCTACCTTACATAAGTTTCCATGGTTCCTTCGGTGTAGTTGCGTCTAGGTAATGTTATTTGTTGAATAAATTTGCTCATGACCTGTTTTGATGATGGGAGAACTCCTGCGGGGCGACATTTGTTTGCAATGATATTGTTTTTGTTCTTCTTATTTGTGTTTTTTTGTTTTGTTAATATATTCTTTTGGGTTTTTAAGTTCCAAATGTTATGCAAAATTATCCTAGAGCATTCTCTGTTTGAGTGTCATGTTCTTATTTTTGTATGTGGAAGTCACATCATTGCACTTGGATATGCATTTTGTTCATATATCTGTGCTGGTTGTACTTGTGGCCAACAACTATTCATTGGATACAAGATGTGGAAGCACTAATAAACTGCAGCCAATAAATGGAAGAACATAACAGCAAGTCGAAAAACTCAAAGAGATTAGAGAGAGTGGCTTTTAGTATTAATCCGAGTAACTCTGAGAGATTACAGATTAGAGAGAGTCTGGTCCAGAGCAGACATCATTGTTTCTTTGAGAAGAGTAGAAATTATGCAGCGAGTAAAACGTGACCTTTCATAAAAACTTCTATAGTTAGTATGGGTTGTAATAGTGTCTTACTGCCTTGATCTTTGACCTCAACTACTATGCTAAACATATTTATGGCGTCTGTGATGCCTTAGTTTGTGTTTAAGTTTTGGGAGGCCTCTGCTGAGGAAAAGTTGCTGTCAATTTCCATATTCACCTTTGTGAACAGGACGAAGCTATATGGTCGAAAATATGACTCAAAGTCAAAATTTGCTTCGGGTAGCAAGTTCGAATGTGCCATTCTTGTAATTTTTTTGAATCTTCTCGTTAGAATTCCTGACTCTGCCACTACTTTTGAAGTTTCAAATTGCAGCTTTGGATCTCTCTTTCAGTTATGCATCTTACGGTTTTCAATCTGAACTAGCATCTTTTCATTGCAACTTGTTGGTTGATGAGTTTTGGGTTATATAAATAGCAAATATGGTGACAGTCTAAATCAAAAAGTAAGTGAAATCTTGCTCCTAAGAATAAATTCGTGGAAAAAGAGCAATGAATTCTCTTTTTTGGCCTGCTTTGATAACTTTAACGTATAATCTATTTTACAGTCTTGTCTTATGCCCTTCTGCGCGTTTGCTGACTTATTGTAGTGCAAATTAGTCACTGGTTTTCTTCTATTTTGTATCAAATATTAAGATATTGACAGAAACGGAGCTATAATTTAAAGTGTATGAGTTCTAAATTATAAATACAGGGTCTCGAAAAAAGTCACCGGGTTTTCTTCTACTGTAGCTCTATTGTAGCTCCGCCCTGACTACATATGAAAGTTTTCTTCTTAACAAGCGCATAAGGCCACTCCATGTGAATGCAAGTTGGTCTCACTAAAAACTAAAAACAAGAAAGTAGGACAACAACCACATACCTTGTCTGTCGGCTTGTTGGAGACTCCAAGTTTGAACTTTTGGAAAGAACCAAAGCACAAATTGACAAAGAGAATGAAGTTCAAAACGTGGGACAACCCTAGAATCAAAAATTAAAAATCAGATTTTGTTTAAATTGTCAAATATAAAATGTAAGAGGAAAACATGAAGGAAAAAAATCAAGAAAGAAGAATTGAAGAAGGAAGAAAGGTCTAACTTCTAAGGGAGAAAGAGCATACATTGATACACAACGAGAGTTGAAAGGTGTCTGGATTCGGCATATTGTGGTAGTAGCGCCAGCGATCAACAGAGGCAGAATCCTAGCTTTTTTGATTTGGGATTGAGAAGATGAGAAGACGTGTTTTTGTTCAGAGAAGGATTTGTTTATTAGAAAGAAAGGTTTTATGTTTTATTTATTGGAAAAGGGTCAAAATTGTCCTCAAACTATCGAAAATAGCTCAAATATACCCTCCTTTTATTTTTGGTACCAAATTTGTCCTCGTCGTCTAAAAATTGGACCATTATTGCCTTAAAAACTAACGGTTGCCACATCAGCTTTTGGACATATTTAAATATTATGGAAAAAGGATCAAAATTGCCCTCGAACTATCGAAAATAGCTCAATTATATACTCTGTTTGTGTTTGGTACCAAATATGTCCTTGACGTCTAAAAATTGGACCATTACTGCCCTAAAAACTAACGGTCGTCACATGAGCTCATGTGAACAATAAAAGTCTATTTCCAACAGACGGTCCTCCATCTTGACAAAAGTCCCCACGGATAAAATTTCTTTCTCCATTTTCATTCGTTGACTCATCTAAGTGTTGCTCCTTCCAAATAATTAAAGTTACACCAATCTTATTATGAGAAATTTAGTTGGGCTATTCTTAAGATTCACAAATATGTAAAAAAAAAAAAAAAAAAAATCAATATACTACACAAGAAATAAAATACCAACTTTTATCATTTAAAATCAGAAATCTTATCACAAAAATGGTGGAGAACAACAAAAGTTGCATATTGCAGTACTCCCATGGCTAGCTATCCAAGCTCATAGCTCAAAAAGGTCACAAATTAGTTGCAGAGATATATCCTTTTAAAAACAACTCTCATAAAAAACTCGAAAACCATTAGAATGAGACCATCATCTAAAATACTATACCCTTCCACTTCTAGCCTTCATCAACAGAAAGGAAAAGAAGACTGACCGCAAATAAGACCTAGACCCAAAATCTCATAAAAAGATACACTTTTTAGACACCACCTAATCCTTCCCCTCCTCACCTGCCTAGCTAGCAGGCCACCTGAAGTGTTTCACTGCACCTTCACGGGAAATGCAGCAAACCCTCGCAGAAAATGGGTTCTTGCGGGTGGAGAAGGTTTTTTTTTTGGTCATGTTGTATTGGCATGTCAACATGATTATAATATTTAAATAGGTCCAAAAGCTGATGTGACAGCCGTTAGATTTTAGGGCAAGGACATTTTTGGTACCAAACACAAACAAAGGATATAATTGAGCTATTTTCGATAGTTCGAGGGCAATTTTGACCCTTTTCCGTAATATTTAAGTATGTCCAAAAGCTGATGTGGCAACCGTTAGTTTTTTTTGGCAATAATGGTCCAATTTTTAGATGGCGAGGACAAATTTGGTACCAAAAACAAACGGAGGGTATATTTGAGCTATTTTCGATAGTTCGGGGACAATTTTGACCATTTTCCGTTTATTTATTAAAAAGTATAAATGTTAGTTTAAAGGAAGGCACAGTGTCGTTTGGACTTTGGAGTTTTTCGGAATTACGATATCGTTTAATTTATGCTTTCTTAAAAAATAAAATTGTAAAAAATAATAAAATAGCTCACTGCTTTCAATGTGATTCGAACACGCGCCTTCTCCAAGCGAACCCAGAACTCTTATCATTGAACCCAGAGCCCTTTTGTTACTAGGTTCGGCATGATATATTTATATAGAATCAGTAAATTTTTCAATACAAATAAAAAGTCACTGGGTTCGCCGGAACCCGCACCCTCTACCGTAGCTCCGCCCCTAGATATTGATCCCTTGTTTAGTGACAGAGGCAGCTGTTGGAACTTCTATTTGATACAGAGTGGCTGTGCATTGACAATTAGCAACTCCATTTTATATAAATACCATAAACATCTTTATGTTTATTATATTATGCTTATATATGTAAAGTGTGCAACTTATTTGTCACTCTTATTATTGGATTGATTTGGTACTGGAGTTGCTCATATATAAGTGTGAGCATTTTTGTATCCTTGTTAACTAGTCCATCAAAACATTAACGTGTATAACACGACAGCTTTTTAAATGTGAATAACATAAACCCATTTGGGCTAAACTCAAATTGATTACTTGGCGAGCTGATAGAGCATCCCAAATCTACTGGGAATGTTATAAAAAGTCTCATGCCTCCCCAAGAGCCTACTGTAACGAAATACAGACCATTTGACTTTTAGGAAAAAACCCCAATACATATAGGAACTGTAAACGGTCTTCATCATCCCCAAGCACCACAACTAATTCAGAAGTTCATATCATTGGGTTTAGAGAGCTTTAGGGATGACACAAATTTAATTAAACAGCTCTCACCTTCTGTGAGTATCAAGCTCAATAATCAACTTCGTTTAACCTCAAACCTCTCTCAATTTCTTCAGAGCGCATTCACCGATGTATCAAAAATTACATATTAGAAACTTCTATTTTTGATGAATTAAGCATTAGAAACTTAGATGTACAGAACTCAAAATCTTATCTACAACAGAGGAAACCCCAAAGCGAACCACAGTTCTGCAACTATGAAGTCAGTTCAGTTTAGTATTCCTTCACAAAAACAAAGGCCATCAGGAAAAAGATCTAGACTCCATGTACTACATGTATCTTCATGATAGCATAGTATCACAGATTCTCAACAATGTCAGCCAGTATCAATTCGCATCAAACATTAAGCATCCCCGACTATTTATGAAGAAGGGTTTAGCATGCACCACATCCCCAAATCTACTTGTGAATACTCAACATGAAAATGCATGCAACCCACAGCAATAGGCTATCACTGACGAGATGCATAAACATATAAGAGATAAAGGTTCACAAATCATTCATCCTCAGACAGAATTGCACATCTTCTTTACTGCATTAAACCTTAAACTGATCATACAGTTATATAACTGAGGGTAACCAAGCAGGGTGACTCATGAGATAGGAAAGGTGTTCTTGCAAATACAGCATGCCAAGCGGGGCGGTTGTAACCCAGTACCAGTAATATTTGTCACTTATCAGTCACCTCTTTGCATGATGCTATAGACCTTGCTGAGTTTGAGAACATACAGTGCTCTCTCAGAAAATAAATTAACAGGATACAGAATTACTATCGAGTCAACCTAAAGATCTTCCAATTTCTACACTTAGCGAAGGAATATGCACCTCAGGACTATGTTATCTACTCCTGTCACATGCATGCAAGCTCAATCCAGTAAGGCAAATGATAAAATCAACACAATATCTGATTCTTTCTAGTCAAAATGATAATAAATTGTATTCACAACCATCCCGGTGCAATGTTATAGGGCTTCACCCAATATCAAACACTTCTGCAGTAGTCCAAAGCCATGCATGATAAACTAAGAGTCGCACTTCATACTTTCTTAAATTTATCAACTATGATATCTCCTCCCACTACAAAAATGAAGAGAGCCCTCAGAATTCATACAATATCACTAAATTTTCATATTATCATATTTCACAAAAGATACAGTGTCAAAAAAAGTGGACGGCCAATCAAACTACTACAACTAATTAGTTTGACATGATAAACTCAAGCTTATAATAAACCAAATGCAACAATTCTTATTTTCTTCCCACACTAAAGGTATCTTCTTTTTATGAATCCCTACCTAAATGAGTGGTCTTAAGATGATGCCGAATTGTCTATACACTATCAACAAGCACACAATAATGCAAAGATACAAATGTCATAAGCTCGTCAGATAGAAGCAAATTGACTACACAATCACAGGAGAATAAAATGTACATTAAAGCTGTTCAATTTTGAGTGAGCATCAAATAAAACTTCACATACTATATCATGTTACATCAATATCCCCACTTCTGTACTAACACAAGAATTTTTAGTTTCTCAATTACCCACGCGCCTTGAGCTCAGCCAGACGTCTGGACAGATCATCCTCATTAACTTTCTCCTCGTTCTTAGAAGATATAGCATGGGCAGCTGGTTGTGGAAGCCCCACAGACACCTCGAGCCCATAATCATCAGCCACCTGCTGCATCAGGCTGCCGACCTGGTCCTCTGGAGTTGACAGGGAAGTACTTCCAGCCATAGAACTCTCCATAAACTCAGCTTGAACCTCCATATTAACAAATTGACGCTCGAATGAATCCATTGTCTCCGACATCTTCTGTAAATTCCCTGTGTTGAGAGATGATTCTAGTGATTTCACGATCGACGACATTGACTTGCTAATAGTCGCCATCTTCGCCTGCGTACACAGACATATCCCAATTTCAAGAAAGTAAAGAAACCTCTTAATATATATACACACTAAAATATCTTAAAACTTACAATCGAGAAATTACATATGTAGTCCAGGATCAATATTACACGTTCTTTATTTATTTTTAATTTACGACATATAATGTGTGCACATACATATCGGAATTTCAGACAGTAAATATACTATTTTAAAAAGTTTTCTCTAAATTTAATATCTAATTATTATCAGATATTTTACAATATTTGTATATAGACAGTCCTGGGTCGAAACTACACATATTATGCACAAATATAAACTTAATTTCAAATATTACATAATATATTCCGAGATCGAGATAGTGAAATGCAAGTTTTCGACAGCTTATATTTCGGATCGGTGTTTTACCTGAGTATCGAGGCGAGCGACAACGGCGTCAAGGCGAGAGGAGAGACGAAGATAGTTCATCTGTTCGCTGCGCTTGCGGATGGCGTTTTCGGCGTAAATTCTAGCGCCGTCCATGTTTCCTTTCTCAATAGCCTTCTTGACCTTAAGCTTCTCCGCTTTTTCGTCCTTCTCACATTTTCGGGCTTGGCGTTGAAGGCTCTTCGATGTGAACTTCAGCTCCATGATCTGATTCATCAATTTCTCAGCGTTCCCCATTTTCTTAGATTTGATGAAAGAGCCTTTCGATTTAGTGATTTATCGAGAGGAAATCGATTGTTTTCACAAATTTTCCCCTTGGATCAATATAAGCTAGGGTTTGTATTCCCTTCTCTTTTTCGATTTTGGATATGCAACTCACCTTGTAGGGCCAGGAACAAATGAAGCCGTTCGATCTCTGATCACGAA